TCTGTAAACCATGCTTTACTGGAACACGTCTGGCTGGTTGCACGTTGTCTATGGCAGTTTTCACACTAAAGTCAGAGTTAAACATTTGTCCTAAGGCCCTGTGGCCCACAAAGCTCAAAATATTTCTGACCCTTGCTCTAAAAAAAGTTCCAGAAGGAGGAGAGAGAAAGAAATGAAGGAGAGGCCATACGTGAAGAGTTATGGCTGAGAGTTTTCCAGAATTGATGAAAGATATGAACGCTTAGATTCAAGAAACACAAATCCCAACATTCATATGAGTAAATATTGATAAATGTGAGCAAAGTCCCACCTGTGCTCGACAAGGTGACACTGCTGGACCCCACCCTGAAGAGAGGCCTCAGTGATGGAGAGGAGTCGATGGGTCGGGGGAACTGCACGTAGATGGACAGCAGACTCTCTTCAGAAACCAAAGGCCAGGAGACGACGGAACAGCCTCCCCGTAGTGCAACGGGAGGAGCAGCTGCAGGCTGGGAGCTCTGTGCTGGTTCCACTCAGCACGGAGGGAGACATGTGGACCCTGCAGGCACATCCACCCTGAAAGGCGTTCCCATCCCACTCCTGCTGGAAGAACCATTCAGGGAGAAGGAACTGGACCAAGGAAGACACGATGACAATTACAAAGAAAATAATAAAAATCATTGTTCAAAGATATAAAAGAAGATCTAAATAGATGGAGAACTATGATGTTCATAGACGGGAAGACTCAATATTGCAGAGATGCCAATTGTCCTAAAATTAACCTATAATTCAATGCAATTTCCATCAGAGCCCAACGGGTGTTTCTTGGATCTTGACAAGTCAACCCTAAAATATATTTGGATGAATAAATGGCCAAGAGTGGCCAAGCCAATTTCAAGAAAGAATAATAAGGGAGGGGTCCTCCGCCAGCTGTCAAGATTCACCGTCAAACTGACGTTGTTACAACCCCAGGGGATGGACACATGGGAGAAGGAGGGGGAAGGACAGCTGGAGAGAGGTCCCCACGCACCTGGCCACTGCCTGCGGGTGGAAGGGCCGGCCAGGCAGGTGGCTATGGCCCGGCTCGCATGGGCCGGTGGCTAGAAGTGCAGGAATTTGTTGAACTGCTTGTTAAACAGCCACTACGAAAAATTAAATTCTGTGGACTTAACGCTTGGTGCTGAAGTGAAAGCAGCTTCGGTTTAATGAATGCAATGTGTGCCAGGGTGAGAAATGGTTGAGCAGAGGGTCACGGACGACACTCAATGACAACACATGGCTGGTTGGGTGTGGCTCTGCCGCCGCAGGTTGGTTCCGGACACACGAGCCGGGCAGAGGTCAGCAGAGCAGACCCCGGGGAATGGACAGGCCGAGTGGGATTCACAGCAGCGTGTCATGTATTTGATGACTGTAATCGTGTGCTGCACCTCGTTGTCTCAGCGTAATTTATTATAAGCTGCCTGCGTGTACACGAAGCCTCTCATGCTGACTCACACACGGGGTGGAAACGGCAGCTTGCAGAGGATGCGCAAAGTGTGCCACGATTTGTGTAAACTTAAAAACACCTAAAGCCATGTGATTCGTGCCTGTGTTTAGTCTCGGGGGAGGGTCCACGGTCAGCTCTGTTATTTCCTGTGCTTTTCGGCGTGTTTGAAATATCTCGTAATTCAAATACTGCTTTCAAACAGAGGTAGGTCTTGGCTCCCAGGGTCCCCCTCCCAATGGGAAGCCCCCACTTGCCACCTCTCAGCACGTTTCTGTCAAAACAGCAAGGGATCCCACAGCCTGGAGCTCAGGACACGCTTGCTCGGGCTGTGGAGGAACGTGGGGCCTGGGAGGGGCACCGGCTGTCTGTGCTGGGCGGCAGCAAGGGCCAGGTCAGCATCTGCGGGTGCCCAGGGCAGCCCCTGCCTCCAAGCCCTCCCCCCACTTCCCCAGGCTGATCCAGGCGCCGGAGAGGCAGAGCGCCAGCCCGGCGGCACAGCCACAGCCGGGAATCGATCCGATTGTAATTGGGACTTGGAAGAGGTTTAATATTTAACTGGATTAAATATTTAAACAGGGCAAGCTGACAGGAACGTGGCGGCAGATGGGGGGCAAGCCACACCCACCACTGGGAGCGAGAGCCTCAGACACCCGGCCCGCCTTCCAGGTATACAGCAGGTGCTCAAGAGGTCCCTTCAGAGGCCAGGATGTGGTCCCAACCATCAGGGCTGACTGGAGGTGTTTCCTGCTGTCTGCTGGCTGGGCACATGATGACCTCTCCCTCCAGCCCCCTCCTTGGGCCGGCCATGTGCCAAGCAGGGCTGGGGGGATGGGGCTGCCTTGCAAGCGCTCCTGTGAGGTAGTGAGGCACTGCCTCCTTCAGGAAGCATGCCTGGACTGGGCCAGCTCCCCGTCACACACACTGTCACTCTCTCTCGCATCCCCCTGCACCTTGTCATTTGTAAGGATCTGCATAAGGCTGTGTGGCTCTGGTGGTCGAACGCTGCAGGACAGCCAGCTGCACTGCTGTCTCGAGGGGACCACACCCTGCAGGCTGGTGCTCGATGCCCGTCCTTGACACAGGGGCTCCTCACCTTAGCCGGGGCTCCCAGCAGACAGCAGGGTGACCTGGCTGGGGAGCGTGAGGCTGCCAGGAAGGTTCAGCCCCCAACACCTCCTGGCCCCCAGCTCTCTTCAGGCCCCTCGTGGCCCACCGGTGTCTGGGACACTGCATGCACTGGGGAGGCAGTGGGGCCATCCTCGGCTCGTGTCCGGTGCTGTCTGGCCAGGAGGCTGCCTGGGGGGTGGGCGGCTGGAGGGACTGTCACAGGAGGCAGGGTGAGGACTCAGGTGTGAGTCTCCTGGGGCTGCACTTGGCCCAAACAACGGAAATTCATCCTCTCACAGCCTGGAGGCCAGACGTCGAGACCAAAGTGTCTGGGGTCGCACTCCCTCCAGAGGCTCCAGGGAGGCTCCTTCTTGCCGCGACCAGCTTCTGGGGCTCCACAGTCCTCGGCGTGTGGCCGCTTCACCCCAGTCTCTGCCTCCGTCGTTACATGGCCATCTCCCTGTGTGTCTGTGTCTCTTTCCTCATCTTAGAGGGACGCAATCATCTTGGATGGGGCCACCCCAATGACCTCATCCTCAGTTGATCATCTGCAAAACCCTGTTTCCAACAAGGTCCCATTCGCAGGTACTGGGGGTTAGGCTGGACTGATCTTTTTTGGGGCACAATCCAGCCCACTACCAGAGGTCACATCCACCCAGGTGGGGGCTGAGGGGTGGGCTTGGGGAGGTGGGGAGCAGGACTCGGTTCTCACCCCGGCTCTGCTGCTGATGGCTGTGGCCCCAGGCCCCTCCCGTGGTCAGCGGTTCCTGACTGGAGTCCACAGTCGGAGCTGAGGCTGCAGAGTGGGGGCAGGGCGCGGGCACTGTGCTGGGGAGCCGAGACCGTCCGCAGATGGTCGGAGACATCGCCTGTGGTCGCCTCCCCAAGCTTCAGAATACTGGCCCCTCGTTTCCTGCTCTCCGCATTCTTCTCTCTTCCAGACTTAGGGGTGTTCGGTCCCCACCCGACACAGGAAAGCACTGGTTGGGGGCTGTTCTAGAATTTCCAGGCAGCAGCACCGTCTGCCCTTGCCCCCACTCCCCAGAGGGTGTCCCTGAGCTGAGCACTGGGAGGGACGGGACAGTCAGGTGGGGCTGGGATGAGCTCCCGTCCCTTCAGTCTCCTGGTCCACTGTCCCTGCCGTGGCCGGCAGGAGATGGCTGTCCAGTCACAGGGCCCAGGTCCCCACGGGCTCTCAGCGAAGCCTCTGGCCTCACAGAGCCTCTGTCAGCTCTGAGTGGGCCAGCAAGACCCAGTGGCCTGGGTGTCTTCTGTAACGTAGGCATCCTCTGTGGCCCTTGACACCTGTGGGCCGTGGTAGCCACAGGCATTCCGGCTAGTATGCAGCGGGCAGCCAGGTGGCCTCCCTGTGCCGGGGAAGAGGAGGGAGGGGCACCTGGCGTCCTGTGTCCCCATCCCCTGACTGCCCCCCTCAGGGCCCTGTGGCCGTGGGGGGCAGTCTCCCACATGCAGCATCTCACGTGGCCTGGCGGAGATGGGTCTGCAGAATGTCAGCTCAGTGCAGGAGGAAGTGAGCAGGGCGGCTGGCCCCTCGTGACGTTTTGCAGACCCCGGGAACCTGGGAGACAGAGCCCACACCCCAGGCTGGAACACCGGCTGCGTTCCAGGTGGACCCAGGGCTTCCTCAGGCCATCCGGGTCTGGGGCTAGACTCGAGGGCGTGACCAGGGCAAAGGAAAAACAGAGCAGGGAGGGAGGGGCCAAGACAGAGCTTGAACCATCTAGGGGGGACATGATGGCGTGGGCAAACCCACCACCCGCCCAGAGCCTCGTGCAAACTCAGCGCAGCCCTTCTCTGGCCACCTGGGCGAGGATGTGAGCTCTGAGGTCAGAGGACCGCAGAGACGCCCTCCTGGCCATTCCTACTCCTGGTCCCTCTGAGCCTCCATCTCCTCACCTGTACTTGCTGCAGGGGTGGTGAGGGGGCTGTAAAACACACGGGCAGAGTGCCGAGGCCGACTCTCTGCTCATCCTCTTTGGGGGCAGACGTACAGACAGAGAAGCAGGATGGAGCCTGGGAGGAGTGAGGCCTGGCTGTTGGGGGTGGGGGGTCTTCTGCAGGAGAGGTGGCTACAAGGCTGGAAAAGGCCGTGACCCCAATTCCTCAAGGCTGCCGGTCTCAGCACAGGAAACTCCCAGTTTGTTCCCTTCCTGCTGCCCCGGCTCCTCTGTACCCTCAGGTCCGTGCCTTTTACCGAGCGTCTGCCCTCATTCTGGGCTCTGACCCGCTCTGCGGTCCCCCAGCATTGGGGTCTTGCCAGAGGCTCCTCAGAGGCTGTGGGGAGCGGGGGAACAGGAGGAGGCTGGAGTCAGGTGATCCACTGTATCCCCTAGGGCTGGACAGGTGGAGGAAGGAGGCCAGGGTGTGGCCACCCCAGGCCTGGTGAGGGTGGCCAGGTGGGGGTGGCCTAGTGAGAGTGGCCTGGTGGAGGTGGGGGTGGCCTGGCGGGGGTGGCCTGCTGGGGGGTGGCCTGGCGGGGGTGGCCTGGTGGGGGTGGCCTGGTGGGGGTGGCCTGGCGGGGGTGGCCTGGTGGGGGTGGGGGTGGCCTGGTGGGGGTGGCCTGGTGTGGGGTGGTCAAGTTGGGGTGGCCTGGTGGGGGTGGCCTGGTGGTGGTGGCCTGGTGCTGGTGGCCTGGTGGAGGTGGCCTGGCGGGGGTGGTGGTGGCCTGGTGGTGGTGGCCTGGTGGTGGTGGCCTGGTGCTGGTGGCCTGGTGGAGGTGGCCTGGTGGGGGTGGGGGTGGCCTGGCACAGGTGGCCTGGTGGTGGTGGCCTGGCGGGTGTGGCCTGGTAGAGTTGGCCTGGCAGGGGTGGCCTGGTGGTGGTGGCCTGGTGGAGGTGGCCTGGTGGGGGTGGGGGTGGCCTGGCACAGGTGGCCTGGTGGTGGTGGCCTGGCGGGTGTGGCCTGGTAGAGTTGGCCTGGCAGGGGTGGCCCGGTGGTGGTGGCCTGGTGGATGTGGCCTGGTGGAGGTAGGGGTGGCCTGGTGGTGGTGGCCTGGTGGGGGTGACATAGTGGGCTAGGCCTCCTCCTGCTTTGAGGCCGGCCCCGCCCATCCTGGAGTGAGCATAGTGGGTAGCGACCTGGCCAGGCCTGGGGATGGGTCCTGTCCCTGTGGGACCCCACCCAGCCAGTGGCAGAAATGGGACAAAGCCAAGGCAGCTGGGGGCTCCAGGCTCAGCCAGGAGACCTGCTGAGGTTGACAGGGAAACTGAGGCAGAGCCTCTCAGATGGAGGCCACATGGCGGGTGGGGCAGGCAGGATGTGGCTCAAATGGCCAGCAGGTCCTGTGGAGCTGGACCACGACTCTCCAGGAAATGGCCTGGCTGTTTTCTCCATCCAGTCTGCAGGCCATGTAGGGGCCACCCAGCCAGTACTGAATGAATGAATGAATGAATGAATGAATGCTGGCTCGCTGGAGAAGCCTAGCAGGTGGTGCATTTAGGCAAGCCAGGTGCGGGTACAGCTGGACCACCTGGCTAGGTTAATACCCAAACCCAAGACTCCCCAGGGACCCCACTTGCGTCCCTCAGCAGGGCAGCTGCCCCTGGGGATGCTGTGATGGGACAGGACAGGCGTGCAGGGGCCTTGGGATCTGGGGGGTGTTGTACGGGGGCCTCTCCACTCTGCTGGACAGGGCTGGCCTCCCTTGCTCTGCCAGGCAGATGGACGCAGGCCTGAGAGCCAGAGGTGACCAAGACAGCGTCCGGAGTGTGTGGTTGGACATTCTTGCTTTTGTAAGCAGGGCTCCCCCTCACCTAAGTGAAAGGATCGGGTTGGCTGGGCCTGAGTGGCTGGCCCGAATCCCTGACCATCCAGCGCTGGCCTGGCTCTGTGTCCCTGGGCAGCCTGACCAGTGGCCTCATCCTGCTGTGGGCCATGTCACTGAGGGGTGGCCATCAACACTCAGGGCTTTACAGGGCTCTCTGGATGCGAGGGACATAGGACACAAATGGGGTGGATGTTCCCCAGGTGGGCCGCAATGTGGGCCTTCCTGGTGAGACCCTTGGTCCCAGGGGTGGGCAGAGCCCCTGGGCAGATACAGTGACGCTCAGTTGGCCCTGCAGAAGAGCTGAGAGGAAACATTAGCAACGGGGCAGGTCGCAGCGAGCACCCGGAATGTGCCGGAAGATGTTAACGGTGTGGCCCACACAGGGAGGCACGTAGACGTCGTGGTCCTGCACCTGTGCTCCTGCCTGTGGGCCCGCTGGCCACCCCACATGGCCCTCACAGGCCCCCATGCCACATCTCCCTCGTCCACCTGCCGCCCAGTTCCCCTCACCTCTGACTTGTGGTCCCTTCCCAGCATCAGGGCCTCCCAAGACGTGGCTCCTAATAGGCTGTTTGACCAGACTGAGGACCTGCTCTCGGAATCAAGTGGGGGCTCGAAGGTGTGGACAGTGCTGTCCCCCTGCCTGGTGGCAGCTCCTCCGTGAGCACTCACCCCCCGGGGTGAGGGGTCCCTGGCTGATTGAGGGGTCTGCTTCCACAAGGGTCCCGGACTCTACCCTGTGGGAGTGGAGGGGCAGGGTGCTGGGCTGAGGGCTCTGGTTACAGGAGAACTGAGGGGGCCCTCTGGCCACTGCGGGGTGGATTTGCGGGGGCAGGCATGGAGGTCGGGGGGCCAGAATCCTTCAGGTGCAAGATGAGGGGCCAGACTGGGGTGGGGGGTCAGGGGAGGAGGCAGTGGCTGGGGGCCCCCACTCCCCTGTGCACGCCTCACACTCAGGGGTGCACACACTGGTGAGGAGAGGCCAGGAGGAGGCCATGGAGTTTGGTGTGGGAATTCGGGGTCCCCGGTACTGGAGCCTGGTCTGCTCCCTGCAGGCCGGTGGGGGCCCCATGAGGAAGGGCTTCGTCCTGGAGGGGCCAGCACGGGGGCCTCTAACACACAGGCTCAGACCCAGAGGCAGGGACAACAGCTCCTCAGAGACCCATCCAGGCTGTTGGGGCCCAGAAGTTTCCTTGAAGCAGGGCTCCTTCTTGAGCCGATCCAGACTATGGCTCTGGTCACAGTCCAGGGCCTCCGCCCGGGTTCTGGGAGGCGCTGGGCAGCCCGCCGAGACAGCTGCCTTGGTCTCGGATGGGATGGATGGGATCAATACCAAGGTCCCCAGAGCCCGGGAGGGAGAGTTGCCAGGCACGTGGGGAGGGGGTGATAAGGGGTTGGCTGTCGGCCACTCCCCGAGTCCCCTCTGCCACCAGTCCCCCAACCGTCCACCTTCCACGAGGTCTTGTCTGGTGTCGGGTGGTGGGGACACAGGCTAGTGGGTGCCCAGGACTCGGCAGGGTGTCAGTGGGGGCCCAGGCCCCTGTGGCTGAAAAGGGGCAAGACAATTGGGATGACAGGCAAGTTGGGAGTCAGAGGTCATTGTGAGTGACCTGGGAATAGAGCACCCCCCACCATAGACGTCAAGGGGAGAGGGAAGGGGGCACCGGGGCTGTGGGAGGAGGATGCAGAAGGGCCTGAGAGGGAGCCCCCGGCTGGGACCCTCCCCCGTGCCCACCAGAAGAACCCCAGACCACCTGCCTGCCTCCCAGCCCCACACCCTCGCCCTGGCACCAGGGAGAGTAACAGGTGACATCGTTCCCCTCCGGCCCCCAGGCAGCCACGGCCCTGCACCTCAGGGTCCCCGGGGACCCTGCCGGCCGCCTGCTCACACTGGTGAAGGAGCCTCTACGCCCTGGGGGTCCCAGGTCCCATCAGACACACAGGCCCGGGCAGGCGAGAGGGAACCCGCTAGAGGCGGCCACCAGGTGCGTCTGCCTGTTGATGAGTTTGTCAGAGCTGCTAGGCTTGTGCCGGAGGACAGGGACTCCAGATCCCTGAGGACCATCTGCCCACACGGTCACATAAACAAGCTGTGCCTCTGGGCCCTGGGGCAGACTGTCTGGTGTCCCAAGGAGGAAAAGCTGGCCTCTGAGATGGAGGCGAGCCCTCTGGACAGCCGGGGAGCCAGGGCAGGACAGGCCCTTCCAGGGGGCGCGAGCAGGGCTGGGCTGGGCTTGGCTAGGAGCCAGGTGGAAAGTGGCGGGATGAGCAGAGAACTCAGGCTTCTCAGGGGCCAGACAGAGACTCCTGGGCTATGGTACCGTGGAGCCAGCCCCCTGAATTCTCACTCATTCCAGAGCCACCTGACCAGCGCACAGGCCAGGCAGTGTCCCTGTGTCCCACGGGAGTGCTTCCTGAGGATGAAGCCGGATGACAGCAAATAAATACGTTATAGCAGCTGGATGCTGGGGCGGGGGGCCCTGCAGACAGCAGCCATGCAGCGGCCAGCGTGGAGTGGGTGGGGAGCAGATGGAGGGGAAACTGAGGCACGGGGAAGCTGGGGGTCCTTGGTGTCTTAGGCTGGTTTTCTAGAAGCTGACTCCGAGGAGAGAGTTCAGGTGAAGGCTTCCCAGGAAAATCCTCTGGGGGGAGCAGATGGGAACGTAAGGAGCCCAGGCCTGGGCGCAAAGGCCTTGGGGGTACTGCAGGAGCACCGCAGTGTCCCGGGCGGGGGCAGAGCTGTGGTATTTACCTGCCCCATGGGTTGCTGGTTAAGGGCTCTCCCCGTGTGTGTGGGAGCCCCCCTCGATGTCCAAAGGGTCATCACGAGGGGACAGGGTGGGCCAGGGAAAGGCCACGGGGCATCATCCTGCCAGCAGAAGGTGGGGGGTGGGTGCGTCTCCCCCTCGGCCTCTGTGGGGTGGGTGCATGGGGGCAGCGAGGACCCTCTAACTCAGTCCTCACTTACCTCCTCCCTGTAGCGGGCATGGGGTATGTGCTTGACACGGCGCACGTGGCCTGATCCCAAAATAAAATATTTGGTTTCCAGGGCTGATGGCCTTGAAATGCAAATATTGCCCCTCTGTTTCCAACAAACAGTTACATTTGGGCCTCTCGGAGCCCCGCGCCAGCTCCTCGCTCAGATGAACAGCGTCCACTGTCCACTGTCCACTGAGGGGAGCCAGGCAGGGGTGGAACCTTCTGCCCCAGTGATGCCCCGGCAAGTGGGCGCAAGACCCCATCACTAATTTATGGCTGAGAACCGGAAGCTGGCTCTGGATGGCGCCAGCCTGGGCTCCCTGAGGTCCTCCCAAGGACGCCTCAGGCTCTCAGGAGGGGCCCCCATGCCAGGCCAGGGAGGACATTGCTGTACACCCGGAGGGGGTTGCTAGACCCCAGCCTCCTCTGCCCAGCCCACTCACAACACTGGCCCATCTCTGCAATGCTGGTCAGCCAGATGCCCCCACCCCGAGGCCCCTTCCCACCAGCTACGTGGGGACATTTGATAAAGAGCCTGTTCACAGTGGGCAGGGTGTGGTACCACAGACGACAGCGCAATGCCTGCCTGGACATCAGGGCCTGGACACGGCTGGCCGAGGCAGGCCACAAGGACATTGCTGGGCAGGTGGAAGCCAGGAATGAGCGCCGAACCCAGCCTTCCCTCGTCCAGGGACCTAGAGACCGCCCATCACCCAAACCCAGCCGGAAGCCCATTGAGGGCAGAAGTCAGCGCTGGGCACAGGGTGGGGAGGGCCACAGAGCCCCCCCCAGCCTGTTGTGGCCTCAGGCCTCCCACCACATCACGTCGTCTGCTCTCTGCCCAGCACGGCCCCTCTCTGACCTGCACGCTGATGTGTGTATGGCCAGTCTTGGGGCCCCTCCCCCCAGAGTGGGGCAGCACAGGAGGGGCGGGGCATGGATTCATCCTCCGTGTTCATGCACACGGGCTCTGTTGGCAGGATGCAGGATGACGGAGATTTCTAAGGGCAAAACCCAGTGTTTTCTTGAAAGGAGACCAGCGAAATTTTAGTGAGTGTGGATGTCAAATCCGCCCTGCGGGTGCGGCCCCCGTAGCCCTGGCCCTGCGGTGGGACCTGTGTCCCTCTCAATTAGCAAGATGTCGCTGAGAGATTCATCTCCAGAATAACTAACCGCCCAGCGCCACTCCGGCCTCTGCAGGTGCACACGGCTAATCTAGTCGGTCTGCAGCCCCTACTGGGTGGGGTGGAGGGAAGGCACGG